CCCTAGTTTCCCCTTCCTTCCCCCCCTCCCCTCCCCCCTGTTTCAATTTCATCCTGGGGAGAACCCTGATACCATATCCATGAACCACAAACTGCCCCCCGTATTTTCCGTCAGTATCGATCGCGGTCTCCCCCAAACTCTTCAAAGAATCTACGTCTAGTCTGCGCGGCGACTCGGCAGTTCCCGGGCACTCGGGCGCCCGACATTTCGCCTGTCGAATCAGCGATGGCGCCCGCCCCGCCCACTTCGCACGACGACTCGAAATCGCGGCGGCGCCACAGTTTCGTCCGTCGCTCAGCGTGGGTAACCCAGAAAAAAGTTTGGCACGCAAACAACAGAACACGCAAGAAAACAAACGAGTGCCCATGTTGCGAGTGCAATTGTTATGATCTGCAAGAGGAGATCAGTGACGCAGATGTCTGAGACACACTAGGTTAAGTTTGTAAGTGTGCACGCGCACGAAAATTAACCGATTCGCGTGATAAGTGCAACGACGCAGACGACTTAGAAACGTAAATTTATATCATTCTGCATTTAATATTGAGTTACCGCTGTTGAGAAGTCACAACACTATCGCTGAACAAAGTTGCACTCGAAATTCGGCTCGACAACACACGGGTCAACGTTCGACCATGATCTTGGATGCAGGCATTCACAGCAAGCACGCCATTCACCAAGCATAATTTACGTTCTTTACCGATGAGTCAGGCACAAGGGTTCAGCTGCAAAACAAGTTACAAGGTTCCTGTCGCAGGGGGGATGACAGTAAATAGGTAGGTGGTAGGGAACGAAAATAACAACATGAGTGGCATCACTGCACACTTCTTTGACATACTGATAACGTCAGCGACTGCGTTTGACTTACAACGTGGACGAAGAATAACCAGATCAGATTGAAAACAGGATCGTACGTTGAAATCTGATTAACGACCCCTTGACCTCAGACAGGGGCGATACAAGCACTTATAAATACTTGGCCGGGTATATTCTTTCCCCGTGGTGAGACGAACGCGTTAGGAAAAGACTTATTTCGATTTTCCACTATTTGTTTACTCGATTACAAAATAAACAATGACATCCTTACCCGATTATTGAACGGTTGCTTCGAATGGTTAATATAGCTTTCGGAAAATGGCGACCACACCTAACCAAAGCGCAGGATACCGGCGCATGACGTCAAACACACCCTTTGTGTTTGCATAATGAACTAGAGGGCGCGCACATCAAACATGTCTGCGCCCATGCTTTCGTTATGTTTAACGCTCGAGCTGGTGGATTTTTGACAATGTAGGTGTGATGATGCGTTTATAACATGCTGGTAGTGTTTTTTATTAGACTATAGAGACTGCAAATGCGTTTTAGTTCTATTATCTTTACAATACTACTACTAGTAGTATTACTGAATACTGTTACTGACATAGTCTGATAGTGATATTAGTCATACTGACTCTAAGACTAATGTAATCAGGAGTAAGATAATATAGATAGTAATGATACTGTTAGTGTCACACACTTGCAGTTGTAACTTGTATATCTATGCTTACAGTTACAGTGACAGTGCACTGTTTAAATGAATGAGACATTATCCTTACATATTTGTTATTGTGATTAATATTTTATATCGTGACAGTACATTATTTGGCTTAACTATGCGCGAGCCGTAAATATTTCATTATTTGCGCAAGTTACCCACTGGAGGGCCACTCCACTCCTACCCAGACGAAACTTTACATTACAATCTAATTTAATTACTACAGATATGCGATCATCGCCTCCGTTGAACGTCGATGCGTGGCCTCTTGCGACTGACCGCGCCGCTGCCACGTTTCCTCCTGCGTCCGACCCGCGCGACCCCACTCACCCGCTGCGCTTCCAAGTCGAACGCGTCTCGACCAAAGATGGCGTCCGGTGGTGACGATGGGGAGGGGAAGCGGCCCCAGTTCGGCGGGCGTCTGCTCACGGATCCGCGTAACGTGTTCGAACACAACGCGTGGGACAACGTCGTCTGGGACGAGGAGCAGGAGGAGGCGGCAAGACTGCAGGTAGGGGGCGCCGCCGTACTGACGGGCGGAATGACGCCCAGGGGGTTCTCGCGTAGTTGTAGGTGGCGCTACTGTCTGGATAGGAGGAATGGCGTCAGGGTCTTCGTGCGGTTGTAGGTGGCGCTTTTTTGCATTTAAGATAACAGGACATGAGGGGATGCACATCTATGTATTTATCAAGCCATCCATTTATCTATCCATCAACCTACCAATCTACTTACCTGCCCACCCAACCTTTCACCTACTTACCTATCTACCTATCTATCTCTCTCTCTCCCTACCTATCTACCTACCCACCTACCTCTATCCATCTATCTATCTCTCTCTCTCTCTCTCCCTACCTATCTACCTACCCACCTACCTCTATCCATCTATCTATCTATCTGCTGTGTGTTCACAGGTGGAGCGTAACTCGCGTGTGTCCATCTCTGAGGAGAAGATAGAGGAGTATGAGCGACGCGCCGCACACTACTGGGACGCCTTCTACACCGTACACAGCAACCGATTCTTCAAGGACCGTCACTGGCTCTTCACCGAGTTCCCCGAGCTCGCACAAGGTGGCGCCACCGCTGGTGCGGCCGCCGGCGGCGGTGCAGTTGATAGCGGCGCCACTACTGCTTCTTCTGGCGATGGTCGTGGTGCCACTGGTACCACGCCTGATCGTGGCATAACCGCTGCCGAGGCTAAAGATAGTGCCACTGCTACTACGTCTGATGGTGTCACCACTGCTGATTCCAGTGGTTGTGCCACTGGTACCGCGTCTAAAGGTGGCGCCGCGACTGACGGCGGTGCCGCCGCTGATGCATCCGACAGTGGCGCCACCACTGCTGCGCCAGAAGGAAGCGCCGCCACTGCCGCAGCATCCTCGCCGCTCCCCGACGACGGTCGCCGCGACGGCGACGACAACGACGACTATCCCGGTTGCCGAGCGACGCGTCGCATCCTCGAGGTGGGCTGCGGCGCGGGCAACACCGTCTTCCCGATCCTGCGCGCGGACGCCGACCCCGCGCTCTTCGTCTACGCATGCGACTTCTCGGCCGCCGCCGTCTCGCTCGTGCGCGCGCACGCCGACTACGGCGCCGCCACCGGGGGGCGCTGCCATGCGTTCGTCGTCGACGTTGCCGCCGGCGACGACCCGACGTTCCCGTTCCCGGACGCTTCGCTCGACGTCGTCGCGTGCGTGTTCGTTCTTTCGGCGATCGACCCGCAGAGGGCGCCGGCCGCGGTGGCGCGCCTCGCTCGCCTGCTGCGCCCTGGCGGCCGCCTGCTCGTGCGCGACTACGGTCGCTACGACATGGCGCAACTTCGCTTCCCACCAGGGCGGCGCATCGCCGACAACTTTTACGCGCGCGGCGACGGCACGCGGTGTTATTTTTTTCGCCGGACGATATGAAGGCGCTACTAGGCGGGGCGGGGCTCGTCGAGGAAAGCTGCCACGTCGACCGCCGCCTGCAGGTCAACAGAGGCCGCCGCCTGAAGATGTACCGCGTGTGGATACAGTGCAAGTATCGGAAGCTGTGACGGAAGAGGGGGAGAGAGGGAGGCGGAGGGTGAAGAGGTAGGGGCAGAGAGAGGGAGAGGTGGGGAGAGGAAGAGAGAGGAGGTAGGGGGAGAGAGAGGGAGAGGAAGAGAGAGAGGAGGAGGTAGGGGGAGAGAGAGGAGAGGAAGAGAGAGGAGGTAGAGGAAGAGAGAGAGGGAGAGGTTGGGTGAGGGAGGGAGAGAGGTGATAACAGAGAGAGAGAGAAAGAGGGAGGGAGGGGGAAATACAGAGAAAGACGGAGAACGGGGAAGTGATGTTACCAGAAGAAGAAGAGGTTAATAAGAGAATATT